GGTGGGGGTGGTGGGGGCAGCTCCAGGGGTCCAGCTTGCTCAGAGCCCAGTCTGCGGCGCACAGTGCCAGTGCCATTCTGGTACACTGACAGTGATGGAGGTGGCTCCAGACCTGCCTCCCGCTCCTTGGTCTTGGGCCTGCGTTTGACCGTGTCGGACTCAGTCAAGATGAACTTGACATTCTCCTGCTGGCTCTGCTTGGCTCGAATGCGCCTCTTCAGCGTGGAACTGGCCTCCACCCGGGCCAAGGGAGGGCCTTCCCCACTTGCCTCTCCCTTGGCTGGACCTCTAGGCCGCTGCCGGGCAGTGCCATCCTCCACAAAGTGGCCATGATCTACAGGCCCCGCAGGTTCCCCAGGCCCCCGGCGGGCAGTGGCCAGAAGTCCTGTAACAGGCCCACTGAGCGTGCGGCGCCGGTTCACCACCTCTCCATCAGGCCCAATAGCCTCCTTGTGCTTTACAGAAGCCAACACTGTTGCCACCCGGCCTGGCTCTGGGCTGTCAGAGCGAGGTGTGGGGTGGCCCTCAGGGGGCCTACGGGCCACCCGGCCCCCACCCCCAATGGATGACAGCTCGAGCATGGCTGCGATGCTCTTCACACTACCAGCACTGCCTGTGTCCACACTGCCAGCTAGGTCACTAGCCCGCCGGCGCTGTGCCCGGACCCCTAGCTGGCCATCCTCAGTCCCAGCTCCCTTGGTCTCAGCATCAGGTGCTGACTCATCAGCCATGTTGGCGCTGGCCATTGCTGAGCTAGAGCGCTTAGGCGGAGGTGGTGGGGGCCCCTTTTTTCGGGGACGCACAGCAAAGGACTGGCTGCGGTTGACGTTCTTGTCAGCACCAGCAGGTGCTCGCACTGAGTGGCTGCGACCTACACGCCGCTGGACTGTGGCATAGGGCCCCGCAGCAGCTGGCACCAGCAGCTCATCCCGCTCTGGCTCGCTGTCAGACGCTGCATAGCGATTCAGGCTGTGGGCGCGCTTCTTGGGCCGCCCTGGCTCCACATCGGCCTCAGGAGGCAGACACAGCATGGGCACAGGTGCAGGTGCAGGTGCAGGTGCAGGTGCAGGTGCAGGAGTGGATGCAGGCCCAGGAGGAGCTGGCCCTGCCTCACTCTCCACGGGCTGCGGCAGCACATAGGCAAAGCCTCGGTGTGTGGGTGACTGAGGCAGTGAGCGGGGCGACATGGGTCGCTCCATTGGTGGCAGCAGCTGTGGAGTGGGCTTCACCTTGGCTGTGGCTGGGGCTGGACCATGAGGCCCCCCCAGGGCCTGGGGGGAACCTGGCCGAGCTTTAGTGGGAGTCTGGGGGGGTGTGAAGGGGCTGGCACCTGGTGGAAGGACCTGCCGTGGCTTGCCAGGCACTGGGGGCACACTGGCCCGCTTGATGCTATGGCCATGGCGGCTGGGCCGAGCCTCCTTGGGTGGAGTACCAGGGGCTGGACCCTCATCCAGTAGGTACTCCTGGCTTCGTGACATAGGGCTGCCAGGCCCAGGGAACCCATCACCCAGCAACTCTTGAGAGCTGCTTATGTGTCGTGCCCTCCCACCCAGGCTGGGCTCCTGACGCATAGAGGCCCTTGGGGTGGGTGGCAGGTGGTTGGAAGGCTTCTCGGCAGCAGGGGTGGCAGCCCCCTCTGCAGGGCCAGTCATGGCAGCCTGCAGCTCACCACTGAGCTCGCTGTCCTGGAAAGTGGTCATCTTCGGAGACTGGCAATCAGCTGGGGCAGGTTCAGGTGGGGGCGGTGACTCAATGGCCATCACTTCAAGGGACTGCGGTGCCTTCTGGCGCAGAGGTCCCCCTTCATACTTGGCGTACTCTGCCTTCTGCAACTCTGCCAGTTTCCTCACTGCCAGCATCAGCTTCTTCTGGTGTCCTGAGTGGGGCATGGGGCAGGTCAGGCCAGGGAGGGTGGCAAGGACCAGGAAGTGGTGGGGGCTGGGGCCTCACCCAGCTTGGTGATTCCAATCTCCTGCAGGTCCTCCCAGGTGATGTCAGTGATAAAGTCGATGTTCTCATAGCCATTGTCCACCAGCACCTTGTAGTACTGGGCCAGGCCGATCATAGACAGCCACACGGCCAGGTTAGCCTACAGAGCAGGGGACACAGAGGGCAGCCCAAGCTGGCTACCCACAGCCTGCCAGCTACTTGGAGCTGCCGGGGGAGGGGCACCGGGCCAGCCCCATACGAACAGACAGAGGACAAACCAACAGAAGTGTCAGCTTTGGAGACAGCGCAGCCCCAGCAGGAGCCCAAGGTCAGCTCACATGCACGTGCAAACACACGCAAACACACACACACAGGGTGACCTTATCTTCAGGACACCACTTGGGGAAGAACACGCTTCCTCACCTGCCCAGGCAACCATGGGAACAGCACCCAGGTGGACACGCATCACACATCATGGACGCAGACATACAGTATCACCAACCAGATACGTGTACACGCGTACCCTGGATGACAGCCATACACGGGCACTGACACCCCTCTATGTCATGCTCACGCCTTCTCACAACTTCCCTACCCACATCAAGCACAGTCATACCACCACCTCACACGTGTGTGCAAACAGCCATGATAATCTTCACCCAGTACCACCCAGTACCACCCAGTGGCTTTGTGAATGGTATCCATCCGTCCACACTCCCAGTAGGACATCACTAACGCACCAACGCACAGCATACTCGCACAGAGCAAAGTGAGGCCCATGGGACCCTGACGTGCTCACTGGGAGGACCCCCGAGCAGCTGACTGAGTGCGCCAATGTGGATGAGTATAAACCTACCTGTCCCTGACCCACAGCCCTGGGGGCTCTTGGTGGTCATAGCATTTCCCCTATCGGTGGAGGAGAAATCACAGCTCTGCATGAGGACCAGAGAGGCAGCATCGATGCAACAGGCCCTGGGCCTACCTTCTCCTGGCCCAGAACCTGTCCCACCATATGAGTGCCTGTTAGTAATAGCACGGCCTGCAGTCAGTGCGGGTGTCAGCTGCCAGCACAGCTGGCACATGCAGTTGAATGTGTGGATCTGTGAGTGCAGTCATAAATGGGCACCTTGAATATATTTAGTGTGTGCTGTCTGTGTACATGAAGCATACTCACACACAAATCTTCCCCACGCATATGCCTGGGTATGTGCAAGCATATCCCATCAACGCAGGCCCCTCTCTGGTGTCTGGGTGAGCGTGCAATGGACAGCACTGCAGGGGTGTCGGGTGTCCCTGCGTGACTGCCTGAATATGGAGGGTCTCTCTGCAGGAGCATGTAGTGGAGAGTAGTACTCTCCCCTCGCCCTGATGGCCTTCACAGGTTGTCACCCCTGTTCCTGCCTCAGGAAGGCTGGCCCCAGTGCCTGTGATGGACAAACGCCGTCCAGGTGGGCCACTGCTGAGGGACCGTCTTCTGGTCTCCTCTCCCTGGAGCCCCAGAAGGCAGAGGAAGGCTGGAGCCAGGGAGGCAGTCTGTCTGTCTATCTGCCCATCCTGGGCCCAGTCACCAGGGTGCAGGGAGCCTTACAGGTTTGTGCTCAGGCAGCCAGTCGGGGATGCTGAGGCTGCTGATCTCTGCTGTGATCTTCTTCCGGTGGCCTGGCTTAGTGACCCCGATGGCAGTGAGGTCCTAGGGAGGAGAAGCAGGTTAGCTGGAGGTTAGGGGCCCATTTCTGGGTCATGGCTGGTGGCCAGCCTGCAGACAGCTTACCTCAGGGGTCATGCGGCTGATGGTGGGCAGGTCATAGCCGGCACTGAGGAAGTTGGGGGCATACAGCTGCAGCTGGAATGTGGCGAGCCACTGGCTAACAGCCTCAGCACTCTGGAAGACACAAGGCACCCGCTGCAGGCCCGCCCACGCGCCCGCCCACCAGGTGCACACCCCAACCACCGCAGTGCCTCCTCTGTGTAAGCTCAGTCTGCCGTCCACTGGTCCATGTGCAGCTAGGCCCCAGTCAGTCTGGCACCGGTGCTCCCTCCTCACTCTGTGGTTCTGGATGCCGCCGTCTCGAGCATCTTGCAGCACTGCAGCATCGTTCTGTGATCTCCACCAGGAGGGTCCAGCTGCTCCCTGACTGTCCCCCCCATTCCTGCACCAGGGACACCCTGCAGTGTGGCCCCATGTGAGGGACTCTGGGAAAGGGGCCTCAGCACTGCCCCTTACTCCCTGGAAGGTGAGCTTTGCCCAGAAGTATGCAGGACTCAGCCAGCAGCTCCCACCTTCCCCAGCACGCAGGTCATGTACACAGATCCCTTCTCACCCATGTACACAACTCGTTTTGTCTCACACCTGTCATTTCACACACACACACGTACATGTGCCCGCCTCACAGTCATACCATACACACATGCATACCCTTGTTCACTTCACACCTGTGCACACTTCTTACACATATTAGTTCACGTGCACAGTCCACACAATAGACAACACCTACACACACAGACTGAGACAGACAGAAGGAGGGGGCTAGCCTGTCAAGAGCCCCGGGCTGTACTGTGGCCAGGCCAGGCAGGCTGCCCTGGGCACCCCTCCCTGCTGCCAGCCCAGGCCCTGTACCTTGCCCTCCGATGCTGGCTCTAGCTTCTTGGATGGCAGTTCCGCATAGACCTGCCCAGCATGGGCCACTGGAGGCTGGGACCGGGCTGCACCTGGGGATGAGAGGGCATGGTGGGCCAAAGGTTGCTCAAAGGCCACCTCTCGGCCAAGACAGCAGTGCTGCATCCTTGCCTTACCTGCAGAGCCCTCCAGAGGCTTGACAGGGCTGTCCCCAGGGCTGGATTCGGAAATGGATTTCTGGGAGAGCACTGTTGCCAAGAGCTGCAACCCAGACAGACCAGCTGGCCAGCACTGCCCTGGGCCCAGGCCACCCCAGCCCTGCCACCACCCTACCCACCTTGACCCCTTCGGAGCCTGCGTGCAGGGTGTGGGCACCACTGCTCCTGCCAACAGCCACACTGCTCAAGCTGCCACTGCGGTCTCCACCTGCCAGCACAAGGAAAAATCAGCTGGTGCTGGCCCTGCCTAGCTTGGGAGCTGCCTTGCAAAAGTGCTGTTGTCCCTGCCCTCCAGAGGCCCCTCACCTACCTGCAAAAGGCTTCCTCAGCACCCAGATCTCTTCAGGGGGTGCAGAGGGTCCTGACAAGCTGCCTCCCTGGGGTGGGCTTGGTTCAGCACCTGCTCGGGAACCTGTGGGCCAAGTATGGCCTCCCTGAGTCCTGGACCAGCCCAGGCCTGGGAACCTGATACTGAGAGGAGGGTGTCCCCTGGCCCGACCCTGAGCCTAGGTAGAAGCCCAACACATGCACACCTCGGGGGTCAGCACTACAGTCTCCTCCTGCCCCGAGAGACCCTTAGAAGACCCCCCTCCCTACCCCAGACATTTGAGAGCAGGAGAATGGCAGAGAGGAGCCCAAGCCAGGATATCCCACCAGTGGCCCTGTGGTCCTGTTGGGGGCGGGGGAGTATAGGTTGCCAGAGGGTGCAACCTCCTCTGTGCCAGGGGAACAGGGAGGAGGGAAGAGGCTCCCAGGAGCCTGGGGCCAGGATCTCTACCCCAGGAAACTAGATTCCTGTGAGTAGGCTGGCTGCATTTCCTAACTGGACCACTCTGCTCTTTTATCCCACCTATCCATCTCTGTGATCTCACCAGTCCCCTGCCTGAAACCACTCCATGGCCCTGTGGCCATGTCCTACACCTCTCTCCCTCTCCCTCACTGTGCCAGCCACATTGGCCTCCTTTGGACCCTTACACATATGATGTTCTTTCCTGCCTCAGTGCCTTTGCACACGTGGGTCCCACTGCCTGGATTGCTCTGCCTGGAGCCAGTCCCTCCCATTTCTCAGGGCCTTCTCTGGCCACCCTATCTAAAGCAGGTTGCTTGGCCAGCGTGGCTGGGTGGTTGAGAATCGACCTATGACCCAGGAGACCCCAGTTTGATTCCTGGTCAGGGCACATTCCTGGGTTGTGGGCTCAACCCCCGGTGGGGGACGTGCAGGTGGCAGCCAATCAATCATGCCTCTCATCATTGATGTTTCTACCTATTTCTCCCTCTCCTTTCCTCTCTCTGAAATAAAAAAAAACACAAATTTAACACATTGTATGCGGGAAACGTATTTATACGTTTTACATTGACTGGTAGTAGAGCGCGCGATGAAAACTACCTGTAAACAATGTGTTCAAAATAAATAAATAAAATAAGGCAGTTCTCCATCTACATTCTCTGTCATTGGCTGGTATGTTCATTCCATGTTTACTTCACTGTCCTTTCTCCCCTCCCTCCCTGGGGGCAAGCTCCTTGAAAGCAAGAATGATGCCCATCTGAGTCACCACCTATTCCTAGTGGCCGGCGTACGTCTGTTGAATAAATGAAGGAATGGGCATGAGGACACTGACGAGGAGATAGCTGGCAGCGTACACTTCTGGACACCACTCTGGACCCTACACCTAACAAGAGCCAGAGTGTGGTCTTTGCCCTGCCATCCAACACACATGCGCACTTCCTTCCTTCTGGCCCCCAAGCCCAGACCTAGGTAGGACTTGCCTGCTCGCTTGACAATGGCCTCGCCCAGGGAGGATGGGAAGTAGCCCACCCGGTCATTGCCTGTCCGGTTGTCATGGATACAGCCCTTCCACCGACCATCTGGATGCTGCTCAAGGACCTGACCAGATGAGGTGGGGAGAACACACTCAGGGAGACTTCTGGGTCAAACAGGTGGGTGGCCTGGGCCTCCTGCCCAGACCCCCAGGCTCCCCAATTGCAAAGGGAGAAATGCTGTGGGGTGAGCCTCCCAGGTCCCACCCATCTCTGCTCCAGCAGCCCCAGGCCATTCTTACTGTGATGATATCCCCAGCTTTCACGTTGAGGCTGGTCAGATCATAATTGTTGCAATAATCTTGGGTTGCCCGGACCTGCAGAGCCGCCGAGGCCTCTGGGGACACAGGAGGTAGACTCCCCAGTCCTTCAAACCAGCCTGGCCCAGGCCCTGCTCCAGATTCCCTGCCCCGCCTGGGCCCACCTCGCAGCAGCTGTTTGATCTCCTTGCTGGCCTGGGACGTGGTGAACTGGTGTACGATGTCCAGGGCTGTCTGGCTGTATGTGTTCCTCACATGGGCATTGATGCCACTCTGCGTGTGCCAGAGGGTGAAGTCTGTCAAGAGCCCCCCATTCCCTCACCCCTGCCTGGACCCAGCTTCCCCTGGGCCTCCAACTCACATCCAGCAGCAGCCGAACCACTTCTGTCTTCCCGCACAGTGCAGCCTCGTGCAGGGCCGTGCCAGACTTGGTCTGGCGGTTAATGTCAATGCCAGCTTGGAGGAGAAGTCTGGCAGGAAGGCAGGGGGAGCAGGCAGGGCCTACAGCAGGAGCCCTCTGTCCCAGCACCCCAAAGCTGAGCCCCGATTTCCAAGCACCTAAGGATTAACCAGCCCTACTCGCCTCCCTGACAACATGGTACCTGATAGTGACCAAGCACTTGTGGAAGTGCCTGCCCTGTGCTAACCCTTCACAGCAGTTATCTTGTCTTATCCCAACACAGGCCCATGGGGAAAATGAGGCTCAGAGAAGTTAAGTGTATCCACAAAATCACCCGGCAAGTGACAGAGCTGCAATAGAGCCCAGGCTATGTGGCTATGGATGCCCACTCCCCAGCCCCCTCTAGCACATCCTTCATGTGGGCAGCTGGAGGTATCCTTGGCATCCAGAGGCCTGACCCTGTGCCCACAGCTCCAAGACTGCTCCCATCTTATCACCAAGTCAGGAGCAGAGCCCCTGAGCTGCGAAACCCCACCCCACTCCCACACAACCATACCTGATGATGTCAATGTGGCCATTCTTGGCTGCCAGGTGCAAGGGGCTGGTGCCATTGGGGTCAGTGGTGTCCCCCGGCCGGGGCTCCAGCAAGGCTGTACACATGTTGCTGCTCAGGAGCAGCTGGACCACCTTGAAGGAGGGGTCAGAGTAGGGGGACACCCAGAAATAGGCCAGAGGGTTGCAGGTCTGTTTCCGACTCCAACCCCAGGAGAGGAAACAGAGTAGGAGTGCCTCTCAGCTCCTGGGAGACTTACCCCAACGCGGCCGAACTCACAGGCCAAGTCCAGAGGTGTCTTCCCCGAGTTGTCCACCATGCATGGGTTGGACTGGTGCTGCAGCAGCATCTCGGACTGCAGGGCCCGCAATGCGCAATCAGCCCCAGGGTGTTCATCGGCTCATGCCTCCCCAGACACCCTGCAACCCCTGAGGTGGTCCTCACCACATCATAGTGACCGTGCTGGGCCGCTAGGTGAAGGGGGATGTGGCCCTCGTCTGATGGGATGTTCACCGCCGAGCCTGCCTTTAGCACCAGCTTCATGGGCTCCTTCCGGCCCTGCCAGGCCGCGTAGTGCAGTGGCCGCATGCCTGCGGACAGGCAGGGGCCATTGGGAGCTGGTCTCTAACCCTGAGCCCACCTCTGATTTGCAGGATGCAGATCCCATGAGGACCTGCCTAGACCCCACCTGAGACCCTGGGTGGAGACCTCAATTGAGGAACTATCCAGTCCTCAAGGGACCCCTGACCTCAACTCGGTACCTGGCTTGAGGTCCCTGACAGGCCTTGCCTTTGTTGTCCTTGATGTCCACAGCAGCCTGGGCTTCCAGCAGCAGGGTGATCAATTCCGTGTTGCCATTCAGGGCCGCATGGTGCAGGGCAGAGAAGCTGAGGCAGGTGACAAACACATATGGGCAAGGACTCAGGCACCCAGCCTTCCCCAGGAGCCCTCTGGCCACCATCCCAGACTGATATCTCCCTGGCTAAGAACTCACCCATCTGGGTCCTGAAAGTTGACATTGATCTTCTTGGTGGAGCCCAGGAGCTCTGGGAGTGGGAAGGAGACACAGTGAGGGAGGCGCTGTCCAGCCCCTCCTGCAGCCTGCCTGGGTCCTAGCCCCCTCTAGCAGCTCAAAAGCAGGCAGATGGTGCTAGCTGGCTCCCTGGCAGGCTCAGAGCCAAAGTTATCTAAGTGTTTAGTCTAGAAACATTCATTCATTCATTCATTCATTCATTCATTCATTCAACTCTGTTCCCTGAACTCAGCTCCAGGTACCACCAGCTTTTGGGTCTCGGTTTCCCCCTAAATAAACTAAGATGTTAGGAGGTTCACAGGGACAAGGTCTCCAGGTCTGTCCCTGCCTGGGGACAGAAGCCAGGGTTGTGCACCCACACAGGCACACACATGTGCACATGTATCCCCTGCCGATAGTGGGAGGGAGAGAGCCAGCCCAATCTGTCTCTCAGAAGGACCCAGATGGGCCGGGGGTGGCCCGAGAAGGCTGGGACACCTAGAAATGAGGGTATCTCTGAGGGAAGATCTGCATTTCTAGGATGCAGCCTCCCCCCACTCCCAGTTTTGGGCCTGGCCAGTACAGATGAGCCCCATCCAGCAGGGTAGGAAGGGGAGGTAGGTGATTGGGCCAGTGCCTCTGAGTGACCACATGAGAACGGTCACCTCATCTATAGGTGCACGCGTAGGTCCTAGGATTAACCACCTGAAGCCCAAGGGGCCCAAGCCCTCCCTTTAGGGTTCTAGTCTCCTCCTGGGGCCCCCAGAAGCTGCCTGCCAGAAGGAGGGGGGCCCACTGATACCCTCCCTCCCTGTGGGCTCAGGTCCAGTCAGACTTGGGCCAAGCCCCTGCCTGTCTAGGCCATGGTTACATAACCCATTTGTGGGTCAGTTGCTCCATGAGGGAGGGAGGGCCTAGCAGGACAGAAGCCCCTTTGTCCAGGCCCAGGACAGGGATGGGGGCAGGGGGGCCCAAGGACATGGAACCAAGAGAGACGAGTCAGAGGGGCTGCTGCAGAGCAGCTCAATGCAGGATGTAGGTCCCCCAACGGCCCACAAAACCTGCAAATCAGACAGGCCTGAATTCGAATTCTCACTCTGTCCTTTACTACCCCTATAGCCTTGGCGCTGAGCGCAAAGGGGGCTAATAGGGCTGGCCTCGAAAGCCTAAGGATGTTTCCAGACATAAAGCATGAAGGGTCTAGCAAGAAATCGGCTCAGCAAGTGGTGATGACTAATATTAGCTCTATGGGAACCCCACCCACACCCTCCAGTCATGGGGGGCTTCTCCTGTGCAGAGCAGAGGCTCCAGGAAGAGAGGCATCACCACTCCCTGCCCCTCCTCTCTGCTCAGACACTCTGCTGGCCCTGAAGTCCACCTTCATTGGCAGCAATGCCACTCTTCCCTCAGTGGTCCAGGCCAAAATCTTGAAGTCAGCCCCGAGTCCCTTTCTGACTACCTTAAATCTTCTCCATTGGTAAATCCTGTCAGCTCTATCTTTAAGACACTCTCAAAGCACACTCACGATCTTACCACTTCTCTCCACTGCCACGGTCACCACCCTAGGCCAGGTCAGCATCTTTAGAAGAATCACTGCCATCACCTCCCCACAGAGGGGAATTGGATTGAGGCTGTCCTCAATTCCTCCTTGCCCCCTTCAGTGTAGCCTCCATACCCAGGGGAACCCCAGTAGAAAATGAATCTGATCCCTCTGCTCCTCTCTGGAAGCCCCTCCAACAGCACCTGTCTCACTGGGCAATGGCTCTGCATGATGCAGCCCTTTGACGTCCTCAGCACCCGTCCCAGCCATATAGTGGCACTCCATCACACTGGCCGCCCTGCCACAGAAACTCTGCGCTTGTTATATACGTGTGCAGGCTTTTCTTCCCCTAGTTATTCCCATGATTCCCTCCCTCATGTCCTTTGTGTCTTTATCCAAATGTCCCCTGTCTGGTAATCCCCCCCCTGGCTTCTCCACCTAAAATGGTAACCCCCCCTCCATCCCATGTCTGTTGTATTTTTCTCTTTAGTCTCCATCACCATTATTGATCTTGTCTATTGTCCATCTCCATCGCTAACTGCTAGCTCCAAGAGGACAAGGATTTTTACTTATTTTGCTCACTGCGGTACCCGTGGTGGCTGAAACAGTGCTGGGTACATACAAGCTGCTCAGTAAATCAGAGGCTAAAGTCATGTCCTACCTAGTCCCACTCATTCTGTCCACCTGCCAGGGCCAGTTTCAGGCATGTGACCTGCAAGACACTCAGAAGGGCCTCCCTTCTGGTTGGGCGCTCTGCTGTTGCCATCTTAAATTCTTTTTTGTTGTTCCAATAGAAAAATGATATTAACTCAAAGAGAAACCTCTGAAAAATGTACAAGTTTTTTCCTAATAAACATTATGGGGTTTCTAAGCCTACATTATGCTCAATACTTTTATCTGTTTTACAGAATGCCCTCTTTAATTCTTTGAACAATTTTTTAGAATCCTCAGTGTGAGAATATATTAGGGTAACTCTGACTAAAGAGATACAACAGAAATAATAAAGGGTTTTATTCCTTAACTTTAAACCTCCCTTATTTCTGGCCTATTATGGGACACACATCTACATCTGTTCATTCAAACTGCTATTTTAAATTCTTAATTTTGGACAAAGCATCCATGTTTTCATGTTGCACTGGGCCCTGTGAATTGTGCAGCCTGGCCTGCCACAGTTCTTTATTAAGTTGAAGAGAATGAGACATGGCTGTCCTGTAGCACCCCTCACCCTGTACAGTGCACACTCAGGACATTCTCAAACACCCCCCCACACACACACACACCACTCTGCTCAACTCTGTTTGCCTCCCCCCACTTTTCTTAGTTCCAGTTCTTTTTTTTCTTTTTTTTTTAAATCCTCACCCGAGGATATTTTTTTCCATTGCTTTTCAGAGAGAGTGAAAGAGAGAGAGGGAGAGAGACATTGATGTGAGAGAGACACACTGATTGGTTGCCTCCCGCATGCACCCCAACTGGGGCCTGGTATGGAGCCTGCAACCAAGGTACATGCCCTTGGCCTGAACTGAACCCGAAACCCTTCAGTCTGTGGGCCGATGCTCTAACCACTGAGAAAACCACCTAGGGCTAGTTCTAGTTCTTAGTAGCCAGTTCTCAGCTCTCCCACAAGACTTCCCAGTCCAGGCCCCTTTCCTCCCTCCCACAGCTGATGCCTCCCAGGCAGCTGCTGAGCCAGGTTCTCTAAGTGGAACCCATAGCCAGGCCAGGTGCTCATCTGGCCATACTTGTTGAAATTTCAGAGGTGCAGGAAGTGACACAGACACCAGTGGAGGAGGAGTCTCCATCCCAAAGGAAACCACCTCTCACATGAGGAGGGGCATCATGCTAAGGTCGTTTCACCCCTCTCCCTGCCACTGGTCTCCTCAAAGAGGAAAATAGCTGGAATTGGACGGAGGGGAGCTTGAGGTTTTGGAGCAGTCCTCCAATTCCTGTGGGACACACTGGACACTGAGGAAGGTCCCAGAACTGAACCCTGCATGGGACTGGGGAAGTGAACCCGGCGGAGACAGGAGCTCTGAATGAAGCTGGAGCAGAGCACGGCTGGAGGGACCTGGGTAGGTGGGGGAGAATGAGGCAAGTGGAGAGCAAGTTGAAAGTCCTAGGAGCCCCCTTTCCCTTTCCACAAGGGCACTAAGTCCTACGGATTCCACATCAGTAATGGCTCATAAACTTCATCCCCCAGCCCGCCCCATGACTTGGGCTCTCCCATCTGTGGTCAGCCCAGCCCTCTTAACTGCTCTGGAACCATCTCTACCTTTGAGGTTAGCTCCAAACTCGAGGCTACAGAGGCCCCAACCCTTCTCCCACCCTACCCTCATGGCATCCCTCTACCCCTCTGCCCAGATGCTCCTCCAACCACAGAAGCCACCCCCGCAGAGCTACAGGGATGTGGTCCTGGTCTTCTCTAGTCCCATCTCAGAGTGACAGAGCCCTATGACCTCCAGGGGGCAAGGTACCCTCCCAGCTTCTCTAGAGGAGCAGGGCCAGTGCAGTCTCTTCCCAACTCTCCCCAGGCAGGGAACTCTGGGTCAGATGCTAGAGGGGAACTATTAGTGAGCCAAGGTGAGAAAGCACAGGAGGGATGGCCTGAAATCTTTAGGGAATTAAGAAAGGGGAGGCTGGGCCTGAAGGAAGGGCAGGGTACCCCCCCCTAGCAGAAAGCCAGCCCCACCCAGTATTTTCCCTTCTTTCCCTCAAAGACAACTGCTAAGGGTGTTAGTGCCTGTGGGTGTAAAAGGAGGCTCTCTTCAAGGTGGGATGGGGGGCTGACAGAGCCAAGGGCCACACTGGGGGGCTGGGGCCAAGGGAAGGTGCCGGCATAGGGAGATCATAGGAGCAAGGATTAAGAGAATACATCTGGAGTCTAGGGAGCCCTAGGGAGCACTGCTGGGTGCCCCCCACCCCATGGCCCAAACTCGAGCTGTACTTTGCTGAATCAAAATACATCTTACTCCAAAGCAGGCCAGTGTTGCCATGACGACTGAGCTAATTCATGGAGGGATTTCTCCGTCTGACTTATTAAGCCCGCTCCTATGAGTCAGAGCCGAGAGACCAGTCCAGACAGGGGTGTAAGTAGAGACCCAGGTGAGACCCAGGTAAAGGAAAAAGTCTCTACACCTTCCCTGGGGGGCGAGAGTAGAAGGGAGGAGGAACCCTCGAATCTGATGCTCCCACTTCCCTGGCCTGCCTGCTCTGGGCTGAGGAAATGGTCCCAGTTAGTGCTTACTGAGCACTTAGTAAGAGCCTGGGCTTCATGTTTGCTCTCCCACTGTTCTTACAACAATGCTAGGAGGCAAGGACCACAAATATCCCCATCCTACAGATGAGGCTTGGAGAGCTGGAGTTATTTATGCCCAAGGTGGCACGACCACTAGGTGGAAGTCTTGACCTTGCCTTCCACTTCTCAATCCCTCCACCTGCTTTCAAGGCTCAGTCTCCTCAAAACCCTGGGACCCTGAATCCAGCCCCAGCTAGGTGTG